AGTGGCTCGTAGATAGGGGCACTGGACACTGGCAGACTGCATTGCACTGGCGCTCGACACGCAGGGAAGCTCACAACTCACACAATCTTTCGTAGTCGAGCCAGCATGTTAGGGAGAGCCAACGGAAAATACCACAGGTCCTGAACCCATTGTGAATTGCCGTTTTGTTGCTGTTAATCTTCTCGTGATAGACCCTGCTAGCAATCGACACGGCCTCCTTTTAAGAGATATTCGGGTCGGGAGAGCGCAGCACGATGCGCTGCATGAGCTTGATTACTTCGGCCTTGAAGCCTTTGAGCACTGCAACCTTTAAAGGCTGGATCAGATGCGTTGCTTTTGGAGGTAGCCGCACCATAACACCCAATTCTTCAGCGCGCCGCTCAGCTGCAAAGCCCAAGTGCGAAGAGCAGCCATCACAAACCAGCATTACAGGGTGCTCGATTTTAGAACTAAGATTGTCCACGAAATGCTTGATCTACATCTCGAAAATATCACTGTTGAGAAAGCCTTATAGCGCTGTTATAATACCAGCCTTTGGGATTACGCATCCATCTAGTGGAGTACGCTGAAGGCGCTTGCCTGGAAAGATAAATAGCGGAGCTGTAGCCCCACCTCCCGCACCAATTGCAGCGACAACGGATATATGAAACGAGGATTCTGGAGCTACTTTTCACACGTTGAGCGGTCCACGAACAGATACGACAGTGCGAGACGTGTGCTTACTGACGAAACTCGTCTCATTTATATTCCAAATGCGACGTCGATCCAGCTTGCTCTCAATCACGAGCTTTAAAAGGTAATAAAATAGATCTTGAATACCCAGCAGAGTAGCACCGCTTCTTGCACGCGATAGTGGCTCAGATGATCGCATACTTAGCTCCGGGTGTCTGCGTAAGAAGCGATAGTACCACCCTCAAGTAAGATCGGTGACAGATCGTAAATTACCAGAAATTTCGTGGTGGAGCTGATTAGCAACTTCCAGCACTTCCCACGGGCTAATAGGGAGCATTCTTCGCTGCATAGAAGCAAACCAGGCAACGATATCGTCCTCACAATTAAGAGGAAGTTGTGGAGGTGGGCCTGGCCTCATCCGCTCAATTTTTATCTCCGTTTTACCCTCCTGGGCCTTTTTGTGGCGTTTTAGCTTTGACCTAGGCACACGAGACGTGCTCGCCACGTGAGTCATCGTCTCGCCGTTGCGGACACGCTGGAGGGATTTGTCATGCCCCTTGTCCGCGAAGCAAGCCTTCATCTCCCAAAACGAAACGCGATATCTTACGAGGCCGAGCGAAATATTACATGGGCCATGAACTGGTAGCATTTCACGCCATCCAATCACAAGCAGCCGAGGGTTAACTAGGTCTCTGGTTGGATAAAAGTAGCGCGTGGCTCATGAACTGCTTAAGGGCCATCAACTAACAAACCACGTTATTATTGGTTTAGCGTGTGGTGGAGTGATCACTCTCTTAGGTTTCATAGCTGTGGTTTACTGCGCCAGGGAACGACGAACAAAACCCGACACTTCAATACAGCACTCTTTCATTGACATAGATATTAAGAGTGCCTGTACACCAGGTCCCACCGGACCCACTGACGATTCGTTGGTGCTGCTTGGAGGTCTCTTGTAGACCTTTGTGTTCTGACCGAGCTGATGAAGGGCGGGGATCTGCGAACCTTACTGAAAGATTATCAAACACAAGGCCACCCCAAGGCATCGACCACGACAAAATTCGCATCGCTTATCACATTGCGCAAGCGTTGGCATACCTCCACTCGCTCGCTCCAGCTGTGATCCATCGAGATCTGAAGTCTAAGAATCGTCTGCTTACGGAGGGGCTAGATGCGAACTCAGACTTTGCAGTATTAAGAGAACAACAAAAGAGCACCATGACCGCAGGTGTTGGCACGATATTGTGGATGGCGCCTGCAGTGATGATGGCCGATCATTACGACGGGAAAGGAGATATATTTTTCGCTCGGTGTGGTGCTGTCTGAATTGGATCTTCACTCGCTTCCCTACTCGCACGCGAGAATCGACCCAAAGACCGAGACGGGGGGGAAGGTACCAGATGCGGTTATTCTACAGAAGGTGGCAACATGTTCTTTGAAAATAGCGTTTTCGCACATCTGTCTTGAATCAGTGGTGAAATAAGCCGCAGAATGCATTGCTTCGGACCCGTTATTTCGTCCTTTCAATGGTAGTTTTCCGACTGCACACTATCATGACGGAATGTTTCGGTGACAAAAACCGTAAATATTAAGAAGTTAATGCATCAAGTATCGACTCCAAATTATTTGAGCAGTAGCCAGCTGAGTTGTTTCTTTAATTCTGCATTACTTATTAATAAAGAAAATAATAAAGAGCACCCCTCGCGTCCAGGTTTCCCCCATCAGATATTATACAGGTATATCAGCAGGTATTGCCCAGGTAGAATATATCATTTGAAAACTACCGGTTATTTATTCTTTTGCCTCTCAGCCACCAGTAATGGGGGGGAATCGCGACACGAGACCGCGCCTCCCCGGACGGAGCGACGATGGCGCGTTCGCACAAGACCACTCACATTAAAATAGCGATGGCGGAGAAGGAGCGCCTATTTAAGCCAGTGCTTGAGTCGGCTGGCGAAGTGGAAGACTGGCATGGATATTGCTGGCAGTGTCGTGGAGGCGATGGGCTCCCAAGGAACCCCCACTTCAGCTATTGCCATATCCATACAGAATAACCTTCTTTGCCTTCAGTGCAGCGATCTCCTGTCTCGAATACCTACGTTTTCCAAAATTTTCCGGTGACACAAGTGGACAAGATGCCGCTGGATGTGGACGCGTACGTCGACGGATTTGGCACCAGTCATGGCAAGGCTGCGTTCGAGGCGAGCATGGCGGCGGCTCTGCGTCTGCCCCCTGCTCGAGCCCAGTGTGGGCGTAGTGTCTGGTGGTACGCGCATCGTGCTACATGGCGCGGGCTTCCGCCCTCCTCCACATTCGCTCACCGTCCGACTGCGCGTGGATTTGCAGGTAGAAGAATCGGTCAAGCTAGGCTTTGCTGATCGGATCCTCAAGCGCAGGAAGATCGCCACGGAGCCCAACACATACACGATGATGTCTGCCGTTCACCTACCTCCAGCAAACTAGAGTGTGACATGCCTCAGCTGGGCTCTCGCGGGGAGAGTCAGCCCGGAGATGTGCTAGTGCGCTTGGTGGTCTCGTCATCGAATATGTAATAACACTCTCCCACCAGCCGTGTCGGAGGAGCCCGAGCCCTGGGCTCCGCAACAGCAGGGGGTCGAATGGCCCATAGCACCCTCCTCCTCCTCTTCCCATTCACGCTCCTTCCGTGCTTCTTCAGCAGCGTACTCATCAGGATGGCCCGTGCGCTTCCGTGCTGTTCCTGGCATCGTGGCTTACCCCTGCACCCACACTGCCCCCGGGAAAAAAGTATCATCTTCCTTTGTATTTGCGCTCAGCGTCTTTTTGGGGCCCTATAGGACTGATTCAACTTCAGTAGAGACTGGCGAGACTTTAGTTGAGTATACCCCCACCGAAGCCAAAGATCCTCATCCACCTGTACCGTCGGGATCGGGATCTGGATCCGGCGTTTGGGCTCTTTCTTAGGCAACGGGAGATTAATGAA